TATTATAAGATTTTAGCTTAATTTATTCTTATTTTTTGTGTGCGCGTGTGAGTATGTATATATATATGTATATATGTCATTATTACATAAATATAACGAATAGAATTCATTAGATAGATAGATAGATAGATAGATAGATAGATAGATAGATAGATAGATAGATATCAAAGTAACCATATAGCAAATTGAAATCGAAAAAGACAGGCTGTTTTTATTTTTAAATCAAATTTGCAAAATTCCGGTTGCAATGATGAAAATTCAAAAACAAAAAATAAAATAAAAAATAAAAAAAAAACGATAGCATAATATAAAATCAAATTCCATCTTAACCCAACATCGTAAAAATGTAACAAAAATTGTCCCGGCAAATGTAAAATATAACATTAGAAATATAAAATAAACGGTAGCTTTGACGGGTTGTCAGTGGTTAGGGGGTTAGGGCGTCTTAACAGTTCCTGTCCGAAGGCTTGACAGGAGCTAAGTGCTTCGGGAAAGTGGCATTATCTTAGGGTTCGGTTTTGTGTCAGGGATTCGAATTTTTTGAAATGTAACAAGGGAGATGAATTTGAATAGGGCGTCTGCATTTCTCTGTACGCTATGCTTGCCTATCTCTGCGACATTCCCAACTTTCTCGGCTGCATCGTTAAAAGTCGTGGTAATTATACGTGATGGTGGCGTTGACGGTGCCTGTGACGTGGATTGCGCGGGGAAGGGATGTCGTGATGAAATAACACCTACTGGCTTCCCACGTCATCCTCCCTTCCCCTAAAACCCGGCACATCCCTCCAGTTTATGGGGAGAAGAGAGTGTCACTTTCATGTTTTTTATTTATTTATTTTTTTCTTACGTATCAGGTTTTATAATTATCTATCAGTTCTTTCTTTCTTTCTTTTTTTCTTCATTTCTTTCATTCTTTCTTCCTTTCTTTCTCTTTCTTTCTTTCCAATTTTAGCCCTCTTTCCCTTTCTTTTTTTCCTTTCTCTTTTTCGCGTTCTTTATTTGATTTGCGTTTCTATCCTTTTGTACGTCCTTCGATTTCCTTCGTTCTTTCTTTCTTTTATTTTATCTAATTTTCATTTTTCTTCTTTTAATGCTCTATACCTTCCTAAATATCCATTGTTTCGTTTCCCTGTCTTTATCTACTCCCACTCTCTATCATTCTTTCTTTTACTCTTTCTTTCTTTCTTTCTTTCTTTCTTTCTTCCTTTCTTTCTTTCTTTCTTTCTTTCTTCATTTCTTTCTCTTTCTTTCTTTCCAATTTTGATCTGCTTTCCTAACCCTTTTCCCTTTCTTTTTTCGTTCCTCTTTTTCGCGTTCTTTATTTGATTTGCGTTTCTCTTCTTTTGTACCTCCTTCGATTTCCTTCTTTCTTTCTTTCTTTCTTTCATTTTTCGTCTATTAATATTTATACCTTCCTAAATATCGACTGTTTATTTTCCATGTCTTTATCTACTTCCATTCTCTTTCTGTGTTTCTTTCTTTTTCTCATTCTTCCTTACTTTTTCTTTCTTTCTTTCTTTCTTTCTTTCTTTCTTTCTTTCTTTCTTTCTTTCTTATCGTCTGTTTTTAATTGGTCATTTTCTCCCATATCCGTCTATTTCAAATTCGAGTATCCACTAAAAATAACATTTGAATATTTGTCTATATCTCTGAAATGAGGTATTATGATTGCTTGTATTATATACATTACTCAAACTGTTATCCTCATCTCCATTGCCACATTCACAACGTTTCGGCCGTTGTACGCTCCGGCCTTATTCAGCGGATTGGATCTCTGAGATGAGGTATTATAATTACTTGTATTATTTACATTACTCAGTCTGTTATCCTCATCTTCATTGACATTTCTTTCTTTCTTTCTTTCTTTCTTTCTTTCTTTCTTTCTTTCTTTCTTTCTATCTCTGTTTAGCTCTTTCCTCCTTTCTTACTTTATTTATTTCTTTCTCCGTTTAGCTCTTTCCATCTTTCTTTCTTTCTTTCTTTCTTTCTCGGTTTAGCTCTTTCTTTCTTTCTTTCTTTCTCGGTTTAGCTCTTTCTTTCTTTCTTTCTTTCTTTCTTTCTTTTTCTTTCTTTAGCTCTTTCCTTCTTTCTTTCTTTCTTTCTTTCTTTCTCTGTTTAGCTCTTTCCTTTCTTTTTTTCTTTTCTTTTTTTTTGCGCTTTCTTTTCTTTTCTTTCTTTCTTTTCTTTCTTTCTTTTCTTTCTTTGATTAGTACATTCCTTATTTCTTTCTTTCTTTCTTTTCTTTGTTTAGCTTTCCCTTCTTTTTCTTTCTCTGTTTAGCTCTTTCCTCCTTTCTTATTTTATTTCTTTCTTTCACTGTTTAGCTCTTTCCATCTTTCTTTCTTTCTTTCTTTCTTTCTTTCTCGGTTTAGCTCTTTCTTTCTTTCTTTCTTTCTCGGTTTAGCTCTTTCTTTCTTTCTTTCTTTCTTTCTTTCTCGGTTTAGCTCTTTCTTTCTTTCTTTCTTTCTCGGTTTAGCTCTTTCTTTCTTTCTTTCTTTAGCTCTTTCCTTCTTTCTTTTCTTTCTTTCTTTTTTCTCTGTTTAGCTCTTTCCTTTCTTTTCTTTCTTCCTTTCTCTTTTTTTTTTCTTTTCTTTCTTTTCTTTCTTTCTTTCTTTTGATTAGTACATTCTTTTTTTTTTCTTTTCTTTCTTTCTTTGTTTAGCTCTTCCCTTCTTTCTTTCTCTGTTTAGCTCTTTCCTCCTTTCTTATTTTATTTCTTTCTTTCTCTGTTTAGCTCTTCCCATCTTTCTTTCTTTCTTTCTTTCTTTCTTTCTCGGTTTAGCTCTTTCTTTCTTTCTTTCTTTCTCGGTTTAGCTCTTTCTTTCTTTCTTTCTTTCTTTCTTTAGCTCTTTCCTTCTTTCTTTCTTTCTTTCTTTCTTTCTTTCTCTGTTTAGCTCTTTCCTTTCTTTCTTTCTTCCTTTCTCTTTTTTGCTCTTTCTTTCTTTCTTTCTTTCTTTCTTTGATTAGTACATTCCTTATTTCTTTCTTTCTTTCTTTCTTTGTTTAGCTCTTCCCTTCTTTCTTTCTCTGTTTAGCTCTTTCCTCCTTTCTTATTTTATTTCTTTCTTTCTCTGTTTAGCTTTTCCATCTTTCTTTCTTTCTTTCTTTCTTTCTTTCTTTCTTTCTTTCTCGGTTTAGCTCTTTCTTTCTTTCTTTCTTTCTTTAGCTCTTTCCTTCTTTCTTTCTTTCTTTCTTTCTTTCTTTCTCTGTTTAGCTCTTTCCTTTCTTTCTTTCTTCCTTTCTTTTTTTGCTTTTCTTTCTTTCTTTCTTTCTTTTCTTTCTTTCTTTGATTAGTACATTCCTTTATTTCTTTCTTTTCTTTCTTTCTTTGTTTAGCTCTTCCCTTCTTTCTTTCTCTTTTTAGCTCTTTCCTCCTTTCTTATTTTATTTCTTTCTTTCTCTGTTTAGCTCTTTCCATCTTTCTTTCTTTCTTTCTTTCTTTCTTTCTCGGTTTAGCTCTTTTTTTCTTTCTTTCTTTCTTTCTTTAGCTCTTTCCTTCTTTCTTTCTTTCTTTCTTTCTTTCTTTCTTTCTCTGTTTAGCTCTTTCCTTTCTTTCTTTCTTTCTTCCTTTCTCTTTTTTGCTCTTTCTTTCTTTCTTTGATTAGTACATTCCTTATTTATTTCTTTCTTTCTTTCTTTGTTTAGCTCTTTCCTCCTTTCTTATTTTATTTCTTTCTTTCTCTGTTTAGCTCGTTCCTTCCTTCTTTCTTGCTTTCGTTCTTTCTCTGTTTAGCTCTTTCTTCCTTTATTTCTTTCCCATTTTAAAAAGAAATATCTTTTTTCTTTGCTTTCTTTATTTTTTCTTCCTTTATTTCATTCTTTTTTTTCTTTTTTCCTATCATTTTTCTTTATTCTTTCTTTCATTCATTTTCTTTCTTTTCCCTTTTTCCGTTTCTTTCTTTCTTTTTTTCTTTCTTTGTTTTCTCCTTCTTCCTTTTTAATTTGTCTTCCTTTCCTCTATTTTTTCTTCTTTGATTTCATCCATTCTTTCTTTCTTTCTTCTAGTTTTTTTTTTCTTCCCGGCTTTCTCTCTTTTTCCTTCCTGTCTTACTTTCACTCATTCTTCTTCTCTATTTTGCCCTTTCTTTGTTTCGTTCGTTTTTTCTCTGTTTACTTCTTTCTCCCTTTCTCTCTCTCTCTTTCTTTTGATATGTCGCTATTGCCATTTTTCTTCTCGGCAAAAATTATCCACACTTTAGCAAAATATATTATTTCTTGTTTTAATCCTTCATTTTCTCTTTTATTCATATTTATTTATTCATTTTTTGCTCATCTTCTCTTTCTTTGTTTCTCATACATTCCATAACCAATTGACTTTACTAGCTTTTTTCTTCACTGACCACTATCAGGTTCTTCTTTCTATTTTTTTCTTTATTTTTCTTTATTTCTTGTTTGTTTCTTTCTTTTTCCTTTCTCCCTTTTCTTTTTTTCTTCCTTTCCATTTTTTTACCCTTTCTTCATTTCCTTCTTTATTTTCTTCCATTAATTCATTCTTTCCTTCATTCTTTTTTCCTATCATTCTGTCTTTCATTCCTTTTCCTTTCTTTCCGTTATTTTTCTTTTCTTTTACTTTGCTTTCTTTATTTGTTCTTCCATTATTTCATTCTGACCTTCATTTTTTTGTCGTATCATTCTTTCTTTATTCCTTTTTTCTTTCTTTCCTTTTTTCGTTGCTTTCTCATTTTTTTATTTCATTCTTTCTTTCTTCTTTCTTTCCTTCCTTCTTTCTTTCTTCTAGCTTTTTTCTTCCCGTCTTTCTTTCTTTTTTCTTCCTATCTTTCTTTCTCTCTTCCTTCTTCCATTCTTTCTTTGTCATCCTGTCTTTCTTTTTCTTCATTTTTCTTTTCCTCTTCCTTTCTGTCTTATTTCTTTCTACCTTTCTTTCTCTCTTCTTTATCCTTTCTTTCTTTTTCTTCTTGTCTTTCTTTTTCCTCCTGTCTTTATTTTTCTTTCTTTCTTTCTTTCTTTTTTCTTTCTTTCTTATTTTTTGCCACTTATGA